CAAATTATGTATATTCCTTTTGTCACAGTTTTTTTCTTCGTTTCTCTTCAGAATATAATGATTTTCTTCAAGGGAAAAAGCCATGATTGAGGTCAGAAGCAAATTTTCCTCTGGTTACAGAAATTATTTGTGTTCCCTAACACATAAACATCCTGAAATTATATGATTCCTTTTTCTATAGAAAATTTCAACTGCATTACAGCTATTTTTCTCAGAATTTATCCACTTTTTTCTTTTCTTTAATTGTTCTATTATAACCACTTGAAAGAACATAAAGGGATACACTAATACCCAACACACACCCAATGTCTATGTACACAAGCATTGACCAATTACGACCATAGCAACACAGGAAAGTTTTGTTTCCCACCCCAAATGTTGATCTAAGTTTATCAAACTTAGGAAGTGTAAATAGTTGACATCGTAAAATAGAGAAGTAGGTGTATGGATTTTAGATTACCATGGCGAAAAAATGAGAAGAGACTGACTTGTCTCGTCCTTCAGGCTGACTCAAATGTCAAACGCAGGCATTGCAAACTGGGAAGCAAAAGCCTCTACTTGGTTCCGAAGATCTGCAATGTCTTTACAGTGATAAATGCTTTTGAGCGGCTCCTTTTGCAACTTCCCGTGTTCTCTTTGCGCAGCACTTGCTATCTGAGCAGCTCTACTTAGAAAATCAGCCATAGTCTCAAAATCTGATTCTAAACACCCTCTTGAGGTCATAGCCGGACTTCCTGAGACAGATACACGAGCCGTTGTCAAGAATCAGACAATAAGAAAAAAGAACTCAAAGCGCATGAGTTTAATTCCAATTACAGAATCCAAAGCCTTGAGGTTTCCTTGAGAATTTGATTAGCTTACCTATTCTCACTCCTCCAGGGGAAATAACACCATTTTCGCTGAAAATAGCGACTTTGTTGACCGTGATATGGCACATCTCACATACTTTCTCATACACCTTGCCTGAAAATCACAAGGCCAAAAATATGAGTCGCCTTTGTACACACAGCTAAACAAATGCATTGTACAGACGTCAAAGAAGTGAGACTTTGATTTTGGGAAACTAAACATAGAAGTTTTGTTATGATCTCAAACAAGTTTGATTACAGATTCCAGGCTGATCATTGGCCTTCAAGCTAGTCATGCAGGTTGATCAACAACCACGAGAGATGAGAAATAAAAGATATATTAAGAAACTTAGCCATTGTCTCAAATAGCTTGGTAAAATTTTGCCTAAAGACCCACAAAAAATAGTTAAGCAGATGTAACACCATGAAAATTAGACACAATTGCATCGCTGATACACTTGAATCACATAGAGCAACTTCTTTCATTATCTGCTAATAAATAACTAATCACATACCTGTCAAGCCTAAAGGAGTTAGATCCCAGAGAATTAAATGATTATCGGTGCCGCCTGTTATCAACTTGCACTTTTTGTTTATCAAAGCAGATGCTAGAGCCTTAGCATTTCTCTTGACCTGTCGCATGTAAACCTTGTACTCTGGTGAAGCGGCCTGCTTGAGGGCAATGGCTAGAGCAGCTATATGGTTATTGTGAGGCCCTCCTTGCAGCGATGGGAAGACAGAAAAGTTTATTTTTTCTTCGAAATCATATTGGATATTGCTCTCACAGTGATTAAGATTCATGCTTTGCTTCTTGGGCTTCAAGCCTCTCCTGTAAAATATAATACCACCCCTAGGTCCACGGAGAGACTTATGTGTCGTTGAGGTAACAATATCGCAATAATCGAATGGATTTGGACTTTCCTACAACAATTACAGAAACCAAAACATTCAAGAGGATGCAAAGGAAAGCAGGCCAAACAAATACCACTAAGCAAACACAAAGATCATGTGCTTAAGCCTCAAGTTTAGCGGAAATGAGAATGAACGTACCTTGGCAGCCACAAGACCGCTAATTTGTGCCATGTCAAACATCAGAACAGCTCCACATTTGTCTGCAACATGCCTAAACCTAGGGAATTCCCAGTCTCTCGGATATGAACTCCCTCCACAAATAAGTATCTTTGGACGATAGTCAAGCGCCTTCTCCTCAAGCTTATCATAATCAATATACCCTGTACGAGGATCAACCTTATATGGAAAACTCTCGAAGAATATAGACGCACCAGAGACTTTCTTTCCACCTGGTGTGTAATACCCATGACTCATATGACCACCTGAAGGAGAATCCAACCCCATAATTCGGTCACCAGGCAACAACAGACCAGCGAAAACAGCGAAATTTGCGGAAGTGCACGAATAAGGCTGCACATTAACTCCCCATTTCTCATGATGAAGTCCAAAAGCTGCAAGTGCACGTTCTTGACAAAGAATCTCAATCTGATCAATATACTGATTCCCAGTGTAGTATCTTGCTCCAGGCATACCTTCCGAGTACTTATTAGTCAAATGACTTCCCAAAGCTTCCATTACTGCTCTACACACGAAATTCTCAGAAGCTATAAGCTCGATTCCTCTAAACTGTCTCTGCTTTTCCTTTTCCATAAACTCATGGATCTCAGGATCAGCTTCTTCAATCGACTGATTACCCCAAGCTCTAACTGCAACTCGTCTACTTTCAATCCCAGAATCAACTACAAATCTCTTACAAGGGCTTGGTGATGACAATGAATTGCTACCTCTACATCGTTTCAACTTCATAGGATGACCCAAGAGAATGAACTGCTCCTCTTCTCTTTG